TGATTTCAGTACCATGAACAGTTAAAGTTGCTACCAAAGAACTGACCAAGAAATATCTACAAAATTGTTTCAAGTCAATCAAAAACTATTCCGTCTATAACTTTGTCAAGCTTTTAACCACAAAATCCGTGCCCCCAAAAAGTCTAACAATAGTAATAGTCACCAGGGGCTGATGGCTTAAAAAACTGATAATAGTAGCCCTAATAATATTAGCCACCAGGAAATGCTACATAAAGAATTCTATCAATATTACCCACCAAGGAATGTTGACCTAAAGAAGTCTTGCAACATTAGCCACCAGGGGATGTTGACCTAAAAAAGTCTTGCAATATTAGCCACCAGGGAATGTTGACCTAAAGAAATCTTGCAATATTAGCCACCAGGGAATGTTGACCTAAAAATGTCTTGCAATATTACCCACCAAGGAATGTTGACTTAAAGAAGTCTTGCAATATTAGCAATCATAAGCAGTTGACCTAAAGAAGTCTTGAAATATTAACCACCAGGGGATGCTGGCCTAATAAAATTTAGCAACAGTATTCACTACGGGACAATGACATTAAAATTCTACCAATAATAATAAGAGCTACCTTAGTATACTGGTCTAAAAACGCCAATGAATAGTGGTTATGGAAAATCGCTGAATTAAAGAAGCCTTGCAATGTTTTCTGTTAGAGAATGCTAACACGAAGAAGTCTAGCAACATTAATCACTTGGAAATGTTCACTTATTAAAGTAGCCACCAGAGGATGCTGATCTAAAGAAGTATATGAATAGTGGTCATTAAGGGATGTTGGTGTAGGGAAGTATATAATAGTAGTTAATAAGTGATGCTTACTTTAAGTATATGAATAGTAGCCGCCAGGGGATGCTGAACTAAAGTTACGATAATAGCTACCAGGGGACGCTAGCCTAAAGTCTATACTAATAGAAACCAAAGCTACCAAATTAAATAACTAATAATGGAATGCCAATAAAAATCTGTTAATGATATTGGAACTCACTGATATTTTCTGTTTCGATATTTCTGAAATATTCTAAGGTATACACATATTTTATATCAATAGAAATAGTGGAATAAATATAGTTAAATATAATCAATCAAGAATGAGATTGGAAATATACTAACGAACAAAATATTAAAACTTTTTTTTTCTAAATTAGAATAAGTAAACAAGAATTATTTCATTATGTACGCATGGTTGTTACTTTGTAAAATTATGATTTCGAGAACTGAGAGATGATAAGAACAAAATAATATAAATTAATCAAAAGCTCACGGTTCGATTATACAATTCAGAACATAAGCACTTTTAGATTGAACTAAAACATAAAACATTTGGCTTTTTTTTTCTCTTTTCTTTGGGGGGGGGGGGTACGTTAATTAATTATGAAGCCTGATTATACGAAATCAAAACTGCTACACTTTGCGATCAATGTACGTTAAATTTGAGACAGAACTACCTTATATAATTATAATTAAAAACACACATCCTGTGGTCTGGTCAGTAGATATATTAAAGGCAAACTGTGGTAATCTCATTTCTGGCTAAATGTTTACTAAATTATTAGGCCCGGCATGGCAAGGTGGTTACGGCCACTCGACTCGCAATCTGAGGGTCGCGGATTCGAATCCCCGTCACACCAAACATGCTCGCCCTTTCAGCCGTGGGGGCGTTATAATATGACGGTCAATCCCACTATTCGTTGGTAAAAGAGTAGCCCAAGAGTTGGCGGTGAGTTGGTGATGACTAGCTGCCTCTAGTCTTACACTGCTAAATTAGGGACGGCTAGCGCAGATAGCCCTCTTATATCTTTGCGCGAAATTAAAAAACAAACAAACAAACAAACTAAATTATTAAAAACCTGTCCATGACACAAAGACAAATATAATTTCATAATCTTTGTAATAATTTTAAGCATAGATAAATTGAAAATAAGAAAAACATCGTATAGCCAAAGCGTTGTTTTATATTGTCGTATATATTTTTTTTATTATCCCCTGTTTAATTTTCATATTTGTTTTTGCGCGACAGAAGAAATACTGATGTAAAAAAGTAAGGAAATACAATTTATTTTGGATTATTGTTTGTTTGTAATTAAGCACAAAGCTACACAATGGGCTATCTGTGCTCTGCCCACCACGGGTATCGAAACCCGGATTCTAGCGTTGTATGTCCGCAGACATACCGCTGTACCACTGGGGGGCTTGTTTGTTTGTAATTAAGCACAAAGCTACACAATGGGCTATCTGTGCTCTGCCCACCACGG